ATGAGTGGAATAGTGGGTTTTTTTTCTCTTTCTACTGCTTTATTTTTAAAATCGCTTGTGTTTTCCCAGACAGGCCGAGCCAGCAGGACCATGAGGAGCTATCCCTGCTGGCAGAATCATGTTTTTACTGGCTGATTAAAGCCACGATTTCCAGCTACTTGGAACTTTAAATAAGTAAGAACCTTAGAGATCTCGCACGCTCATTGGTCAAATCTTCCCAGCAGAATAAGCAGCAGCTTTCCGACCGGCTTGCTCAGCCACACAAATAATTTTCTTTTGGTGAATCTGTGCTTAGCCTTGTGTGAGGGATCAGGAAGCATCCGTAAAGTGACCATATTCGGGTGTCATGTCCGAGATTTCTATCCCCCCAATAAGAGTGTTGCAAAAGTTTGGCAAGTCCCGATTCCTCCCCCCACCCATCTCCCAGAGCTGGGGATAGAATCCAGGCGCCCTGACTCTCAGCTCCCCTGTTTCTAACCCACTAGACCCCACTCCCCTCCCACAGTTCATTCACATCAGCGGTGCTCCACTGGCATGACAAGCATTGTCATACATGTTCGATAAACTCAGATGCCTCTGATTTCTGCCAGGGGGTGGGTACAACCCTGCCCATAAGGGGAAGGGTCACACACTGTGTATTTTGGCTCCATGCCCACGTCACTCCTGTCCATTGGAACCCCCTGGTGACTGAAATGCTCCTCATAAAGTGGTGTGGGAGGAGCTGTCTGGGAGCTTGAGCCATCTAGTCACATGCTGGAGACATAGGGTGGAATGGGCAGGGAGCTTGAGCCACCCAGCTGGGTCTTGAGCCATGGGGTGGCATCTCTGGTGGGGAGCTACAGCCACCCAGCTGGGTAGCAGAGCCACCAGGCAACACAGCTGGCAGCAAGCTAGAGCCACCCAGCTGGATACTGGAGGCATGGGGTGGCCCAGGCGGCAGGGAGCTAGAGCCACCCAGCCAGATACCAGACTCTCGGGGCAGCACAGCCAGCAAGGAGCTAGAGAGGTCCCTTCCAACCCTGATATTCTATGAGACCCCCAGCTGGATACTGGAGCCATGGTGCAGCGCAGCCGGCAGGAAGCTAGAGCCACCCAGCTGGATGAATACTGGAGCCATGGTGCAGCGCAGCCGGCAGGAAGCTAGAGCCACCCAGCTGGATACTGGAGCCACGGGGCGGCAGAGGCAGCTGGGAGGTAGAGCCACCCAAACAGACACCAGAGCCATAGGGCGGCACAGCCGGCAGGGAGCTACAGCCACCCTGAACCAATCAGCGCGGCCGCAGGCAGCAGCTGACTTCCGGGAAGGGGGCAGCTGGGGCCGGGCCGTGGAGCTGGAACTGGAGTTGGAGGTAGCGAGCCCGCCGCGGAGCCCGGTGCGGGGCCGCGGAGCGGAGCGCCCGGGGCTCCCGCGCTGGGGCCGGGCTGTGCCGTGGGGTGAATGGCCCCACAAGGTGCCAGGGGCAGGCTGCCCTGCAGGGCTGGGGTCAGCCGGCAGCAGCCCCGCCCCCGTGCTCCTTGCCGCCGGGGAGGCGGGGCTGTCCGGTTTATGGGCAGCCAGGAGAATAGAGACGGGGTCCACGGCTCCCAGCTCTAACCGCTAGACCCCATTCCCCTCCCAGAGCTGGGGATAGAATCCAAGTGTCCGGGATCCTAGCCCCACCCCCCAGCTCTCATCAGTACAGCCCCAATTATATGTGTGTGGAGTTTAACTGGCAGCTTTGGGGTCTCACCCGTAATGACCCCACCATCCCTACGGGCCCCTTCCCCGGTCAGAGGGGATGGCATGAGCCTGTGGTACTTCCCCTCTAGGAAGTGGCTGAAGCCAATCCCCACCCCAATCTGCTCAATGCACCAAGCAGCCTTAGGGCACACGCATTCTGTGGGCGAGGGGCTTCTCAGTGGGATGGGGGAGGTGTGCGGTGCCCATGCAGCCAGTTTGCCGGGGCAGTGGGATGGCATGTGGGGCCCGTGGGGCCCTCTCTCTGGGGCAGTGGGAGCCAGATCTCCAGGTGAGTGGGGGAGGCTTAGTGCCCCTGGGGCCAGGTCTCTTTGGCAGTAGAGGAAGGGGGGTGTCATCCATGGGCCTAGATCTCCTGGGCAGGAAGGGGGCATGCAGTGCCCATGGGGTCAGTTCTCTGGGGCAGTGTGGGGAGGTACAGCATCCATGGGGCAATCAGGGGCATGTGGTGTCCTTGGGACCAGCTTTCTGGGTGGGTGCAGTGCCTATGGGGCCAGCTCTCTGGGGCAATGGAGGGCATGTAGTGGACATGGGGACAGCTCTCTAGCTTAGGTGGGGGAGGGGTGTGTGGTGCCCATGGAACTGGCTCTCCAGGGTCAGGGGAGGAACACAGTGCTCATGGAACCATCTCTTTAGGGCAGTGTGGGGCCTTGGTATCCATGGGTTTGGCTCTCCAGGGTGTGCGTCATGGAGTAGTAGCCTGGCAGAGAAGCTGAGTGATCCCCATCTTTTCCTCCCTCCCAGATGCCCTGAGTCTGGTGTCCAGGGACAGGGGGCACAGGGAAGCACCATGGACCCTGAGATCTCTATCATGCTGCAGTGTCCGTCTCCCAAGGGCCTGGCAGAGACAGAGGTGCAGGCTGAGCTCTCCCCAGCCTACAACCGACGCCAGCTGCCTGGGGGCCAGGCCTGGATCGACGCTGTCTGGGAGGCCCGGTGCAGCCACAGCCCCTGGCTTTTCAACGGCTCCAAATTCCGGCTACACTCAGCTCAGCTGGATGGGGGCTCCCTGACCTTTCGCCTGGGCCTCACCTGCTACAAGGACTTCCTGGGCACCAACCGGGCTGGCATGGCCAGGCACCTTCAGCAGCAGGGGCAGCAGGACTTTGGGGACAGCCAGGCCTACCTGGCAGAGCCACTGGGAGTGGGTGCCATGGTGCATACTGCCGATGACTGCTTCATCTTCCTAAGGCGCAGCCTGAGGGTGGGCGAGGCACCTGGCCTCGTAGACATCCCCGGGGGGCATCCTGAGCCACAGGTGGGTCCACCCAGCACCCCTAGAATGGAAAGGCCCCAGCTCCCATTCCCCACCCCCGATGCAGCCAGTTCTCCCCCACCCTGGGAAACCTTAAATCCCACTTCCTGCCCCCACTGCACATCTCCTGGACTCCCTGTAAGCGCAGGGATGTTTTTTTCCCTGGCATCCACCTCCCTTGCTGTGTTCCACTCCAGAGGTGGCTGCATTTCCTGACCCTGGGCTCCTTCCTCTGCTGCAGGCTGTGGTGGGGGACGTCCCAGAAGAATCCATCCGTTCGGAGGATCTCCCCAGACAGATGGTCGTCAAGGAGATCTTCACCTCCATCCTGCGGGAGATCCGAGATGAGGTGAGAGATGTGGAGTATTGGCTGTTGGTGTCTCTGTGCTCTGCTGCCCTTCACTAACCTGCCTCCCTGCTCCATAGGTCAACCTGTCACTGCCCACCCTAAGCCAGCCAGTGCTGCTGGGCATTGCTCGGAACCAGACCAGCGCAGGTCGGGCCAGCGCTGAGTTCTATGTCAGGTAATGGGGCTAACTCAGTGCACAGAGAGGTCCTCGGCTACAGGGAGAGCTCAGGAGGCAGAGGCCCGGTTTGGCAGATCAGGCGCAGGCACTGTTGATTTAACTGCTGGCTTAAACCCATTTCCTGACTGTTTGGATCTAGAAGCTAGAGGAACCCTGAAATTGGTGATTGATGGGATGGATCCAATCAGAAGTTGAAGTGCAACCTCTCCCCACATGCTGGGGCCCTGGCTTCCTCTGCCATATCCTCCCTATCCCCCAGCCAAAATAAACGTACTAGCATGGTGCCAAGACTGGGGCCTCACATTGTGCTAGGTGCTGCACAGACACACAGTGAGACAGTCCCTGCCCTAAGGAGGTCGCAGTCTAACTAGACAGAAGAAGGATAGTTATCCACATTTTACAGATGGGTAAACTGAGGCACATAGCAGGGATGCCACTTGCCCAAGGTCACAGAGAGAGTCAGTGGCAGAGCTAGGAATAGAACCCGGGTGTCGTGAGTCCCAGTCCTGTGCTATTACCACAAGGTCAGGCTTCAACTTTGCTGCCCATAGAGACAGAGAATAAACAGGGGTAGCTGCCATTGGACCTCAGGCCCGGTTGTCTCCGTTCTGCTAATGGAGCTGCCCCATGTCCCAGGTGCAGTCTGACGTCGGAGCAGGTGAAGCAGAGATATGAGATCGGGGGGCCTGAAGCTCAGGAATCCACTGGCATCATCTTTATCAAGAGAGAGGTAAGGAGAGGGCACAGCCTGGCAGATGGGAATAGAACCCAGGAGTCCTGACTCCTGGTCCCCCTTCTCCAATCCACTGGACCCCACTCCCCTCTTAGATCTGGGAACTGAACTCCGGAGTCATGGGGGAGTCCCTGCTCTCCCAGCTCCTGTGGTCGATAAGGGTCACACGTGAGCTCTGGGTGGTGCCGGCAGGTACCCTGCCTCCCTGCTCCCTGGTACTGACCCCGTGGTGTCCCTGTGCTTCCCCTGCAGGACGTCCTGACTCTGGAGCAGACCGGAGAGATGTGGAGGGAGCTGTGCCCATCTGCCAAGGGGGCTGTCAGACTCTACACCCTGGTGCAGGGTGGGGGGCAGTGACAGGAAGGGTACCGACCTCCCAGGTCACCATGGGGCTTATCTGTGCCAAATTGGGCATCGACAGACCCTGCAAGCTCTCTGCACACACCAGCCCTATGTCATGGAGCCAGCAGGAGGGGGATCACTGCAGGACCAGACTCACCTTTCCAGGGGCAGGGCCCTGCCCTGCCCTGATCTGGGTCCAGTTCTGGCTGTTTTACCCATTGCTGTTGAGAACCCATCTCCCAATAAAGAATTTATTCTTTGACTGCAGTGGCAGGTGCTAAGCCTCTGGCATGATCCCATTTACCAGAATGCACTGGGCTGGCCCAGCCTGGAAGGAGGCAGCAGCACCTCCCCATACCCTCCTATCTGGATGATCTCAGCCAGCTGCCACCAGAACTGAAGAGCGAGAGAGAGAGTGGGGGAGGGACTGGCTAGCTCAGGGGAGTGTGGAGTGTGATTCGGGGGTCTTTCCCCTCTAGGGGGCACTGGCACTTGGCCTTTCCCTGCTTTAGCCCCTTCCCCAAGGGCTACATGAGCTCTAGGGGGAATCCCCATGCCCCAGAGGGGGGCTGGTGCACCCTGGAGACTCTGATGGGCCTGGGGCACCATCCCCATGCTAAGGAGGATGAGGGACACTGGGTTCCCCAGCTCTCTGGCCTGCATTGTCTAGTCTTACTATGCGGCAACCCCTCAGCCGGCCCTCTTGCCCCAGGGCTGGATACAGTACTAGTCGCTCATGATGATAATACAGAGGCTTCTGCCCCATCTCCCCTCCCAGAACCAGGGAGAGAAACCAGGAGTCCTGACTCCCAACCCCATGTTCTAACCACTGGACCACACACACACCCCTCAGGTAGAGAGGGGACAAAATTCCTGGGTTCTATCCTGGGCTCAGTGGGATGTGGGGGTCTAGTGGTTAGATCTGGGCAGGATCTTTCCCTAGTCAAAGCTGGGCAGTGGATGGGGTTGGCCCTGCATACCTATGGACATCCCATTCATGTCTGGAGGCGTCAGCCATAGGGGCCCTGGAGACATTAATCCTGGTCTCGGCCGGCCCGAGGGCAGCTCAGCCCCTAATCGGCTCAAGGAGGGGTGAATGGCTAGTTTGATGGTGAGGCCTGGAATCCCAGATGATTAATTGTATTCAAGTTGCCAATAAGCTGGATAATCGGAGCTGAGTGGAGGGAACGCCTAAAGCTTTGAGATGCAGCCTTCTCTCACGCCATCCCAGCCTAGGATCGCCCCTGTGGGAGACCATGGACTATGGATGGATACTTCCCACCAACCCCATCTGTCCTGAGTCCTCTTGGCCTTCTCCCCATAAATTGCATTAATCTGCCGTGCCCCAACCCTGGGGGAAACTGAGGCACGGATAAGGTGACGGATGTGCCTGATGTCACACAGTGAGGTGGTAAAATCAGGAATAGAATCTACACGTCCTGATGCCCAGCCCCGCTGCTGTAACCACTAGGATTCCCTCCCTACCCAGAGCTGATAGTAAACTTTATCATCATCATCATCATCATCATATTCTTTGCAACTGCCTTGGCTGGTGGAATGAACTAGGCCAAGGGTGCGGGAGTCAGGGCCTCCCCCAGCTGTCCATATCAGAGGGTGGTGCTGCGGAAAGGGCTCTGTGCTTCAAGGAGGTGAAAGGTGACTCTAGGAGCACAAGGTGCTGCCACAAGCCAGTCTGACTCACTGAGTCACCTCCTGCTGGCCAGGGGCTGCTGTCATGGCCTCAGCTACCCTCAGCCCCTGCCCCCAACCCCAACTTTAACCCCTAGACCCCACTCCCTGCCCCGTGCTGAGGATAGAACCCAGGAGACCTGACTCCTAGCTCCTACCCAGAGAGTGGATTGCACAGTGTGGGGTACCTCATCCTTAGCCTCAGTTTACCTGTTCTTAATTTCACCCCATTTTTTCCTCATTTACCCCCCATAACACCCTCTTTTCCTGCCCTTCCCCATCTCCCATTGCCCTGGCTTAGGGTGGGGCTGGCATCTGGGACGATTCCTTCTGTAGCAGGGCTGTGGCCCTTCAAACCCCCTTTGCAAACAAGAGACCCAGCAGCTGGCAGCCAGAGCTGGAGCTGCCTGCAGAGCGGGTGTGGGGCGCCACCATGTGTGGCCAGGCAGCAGTGCTGGGCCTGCTGCAGGGTCTGGACTCAGCCCAGAGTAGAGAGGGAAGGGGGCGGATGGATAGATGGGGATAGGCAGGCAGGTGGAGAGAGTGACCTGAAGAAGAGCCCTGTGAAAGCTTGGGAAGTAGGTCTAATAAGAGCTATTACTCCGTGCGCCCTGTCTGACTCAGATAGGTGGGCCTGGGCCTAGACAGACAGTCAGAGGCAGCGGTGGAGGATGAACCCTGCTTCCAAGAACCCCTGCCCCCCCAGATTATTCCACCTTTGCCCAGTAGGGGGAGTCTCCCTCCGCCCACAACAAGTGCCCCTGGGGCATGTAGGAGCTGGAATACCAGGCTAGTTGGGTGCCCACGGCTGACCAGTCCTACCTGAAAGACTACAACTCCCAGAAGCCTTTGCGGCCCAAAAGCTCGGCCTCCAGGCCACGACCTTGCCCATGATGCTTGGTGGGTGGGGCTGGAGCAGTTGAGTTCAAGTTTGCAGCTGTGGTTACTGGGAGACTGGCAGTCTGGTCTGGTCTGGTCTGGGACTGGGTGATTGCCCCCGGCAAGGGAGCGCTGAGACAGAGGAGGAGGGGAGCGAGAGAGCTGGGGAGTGTGGGACTGGTTGGGAGGGGGTCCTGGGGGAGGGAGACAGGACAGTGGGACTGGTGGGGAGAGGGGGCAGGAGAGTGGGATTGGTGGGCAGGGGCTCTGGGAACAGGGTAACTGCCTTTAGGCATTCTAGGGAGGCTGAGGCTGTACAGAGCCCAGGAGCAGGGTGGGAGCGACTAGCATGGATCCAGGGGGAGCAGAATCTCAGCAGCCCCTCCCTAGGGCTCCTGGGAGAGGGAGCCGGAAGTCTGGGAGTCGAAAGAGGCACCAGGACCAGGTTAGAGCTAGTCATGATTTCCCCTGACCCAGACTCTAAACCCCAGTCAATCTCCTCCCATGGCTGAGCTGGTGACACCTGTCTCCATGGCCAGACTTCTTGCAGGGGTTCTCCCCTCCAGTTCAGGCGTGGTTGGGTGGGGGTGGCAAGAGCTGACAGGAACCCCTCTCTAGGGGTGAGTTGGGACTAGAACCCAGGAGTCCTGGCTCCCAGCCCCCCTACTCTAACCCATTAAACCTCTCTCCTCTACCAGAGGTCGGAAATAGAACCCAGGAGTCCTAGCTCCCAGTGGCTCATTCAGCCCTTTCTACTGAGGCTGGTAGTGGTGTGGTGGGGGGGGGGCGGGGGTTCCCTCGGGGATGAGCCCTCACCACTTCCTCCATTCTCTGTCCCCCATCTCTTTCAGAATCCAGATGTCCGTCTGTCCAAAGCCTTGTCCTATGTTTTGCGTCATGGAGCAGCCCAGCTGGGGCTGGAGATGGGTGCTGGTAAGTGCACCCATACTCCCATGCATTTGCTCCCCCTGGCCTTGCAGGCAGGCTTCAGAACAGCACCTCTCCCATAAAGAGAGAGCTACTGAACCCCAGCAGAAAGGACTGAGACAGGGGACCCTCTGCTTAGGTACAACCCGCCATGCTGACATGGGATCCCTGGCCTGTGGCTGCCCCTGGCTCTCCTACCTGCCCCTGGGGCCTGAAAGGTCAGGGGGTCATTATGGGGGGCACTTGGTATTGATGCATGTGCTCCCTGCTCCTAGGGAGGTGGTGGGAGAGAGAGCACAGAGAAGGGGACTAGGGCTGGGCCTGCTATCCACAGACTCATTGCACTAAACAGCCCAGCCCCTTGCTCCAGAGGGTGTTCCCCCTCACAGGTTACTGGGGGCAGGGGTGTGCTGACATAAACTGGCCTGCCCTCTGCTGGAGGGCCCATGGATGGGCACTGCCCCAGGACACCTGGGTTCTTCAGCCCCTTAGTACCCTGGAGCCTGAGGGGTGTGGTAAGGGTTAGGGCATCATGTGGAGGCCAAACTGGTCTTGTCCCTCAGTCACCCCCAATGGATTGCATAGGGAGATGATGGAGTTAGACAGATCTTGGCATAGTTGGTCTAGGGGGGTGGGAGATGGGGTAGATCAGGTCTTGGCCTTGCCAGTCAGGGGAGAGATGGGTTAGAGCATGTGAGGACAGGTTAGAGTATGTGAGGACAGGTTAGGTCTAGGCCTTACCGGTGGAGGTTGGAGGGATGAGTAGGAGCTGCAAGGGGGTGTCAGTCTCGGCTGCACTAGTTGGGGGTGCAAAGGGGGTTTAGATCTTGGCCTAGCCAGTTGTGCGGGAATGGGATAGGGCATGCGAGGAGGGGCAGATCTCACCCTTGCTGGTTGGAGGAACAATGGTGTAGGTGGGGGGCGGGGTGTTGTGCAAGGAGGGAGGATGAGGTAGGGCATGCAGGGGGCAGGTCTAACCCTCGCTGATTATGGGGATGGGGAGGATGTGACAGGTTGAATGAGGGGGTTGGAATGTGGGCAGGGCAAGCCAGGGGGTCAGGTCTTGGTCTAGCCCATCGAGGGGGGGATGGGGCAGGGTGAGCGAGGGGGACAGGTCTCTGCCTAGCCCGTTGGGATGTGGGAAGGGGGCAGGTCTCTGCCTAGCCTATCATGGAGGATGGGAGAGGACAAGGGGGGTAGGGATGCCAGGCCTCGGCCTAGCCCATCAGGGTTTGGGGGTGGGGCAGGGCAAGCAAGGGGAACAGGTCTCGGTTTAGCCCATCAGGGTGTGGGGAGGGGGCAGGTCTCGGCCTAGCTGATCTCATCTATCTCCCCTCCCCAGATGGGTTCTTAGACGTGGCTGCCCTGCTGAGCCTGCCCCGCTTTGGGGGGGGTCTCTGTGGCCGATGTGCGACACGTTGTGGAGACTAACGAGAAGCGCCGCTTTGCCCTGCGCCCCCACCCTAGTGATGGGCGCTTGCAGATCCGCGCCAACCAGGGGCACTCACTGCAGGTGCTGGGGGAGGGGTGATGGGCAGCAGAGAGGAATCCCTCTTCTGGGGAAGTGGCGGGGGGCAATTGAGTGGTGCGGGCAGGGGAAATCCTACAACCTGGGGCCCAGAGTGCGGGGGATGGGTCAGAGCAGGATAATCACTCTCCCAGGATTAGGAGGAGTCAGGGGGCAGGACAAGATCCTTGCTTCAGGGAATGGGGGGCAGGGGCACCTGGGACATAAGAAGGGGCAAGAGAATGGGGGCTGGAGGGATGCCGAGAGGCTGATGAGGGCTAAGGAAAGCACAAAAAGGGACTCTAGGCCAAAGCTCCATTGTGATATCCCTCCATTCGCTCACCAGCAGGTGTCAGAGCTAGAGCTGATCCCACTGCTGGAGCCCACAGCCCTACCCCAGACCATAGCCCATGGCACTTACCTGCGGCACTGGCCGGCCATCTGCCGAGGGGGCCTTTCCCGCATGGGGCGCAACCATATCCACCTAGCACCTGGGCTGCCCGGGGATGGACATGTCCTCAGCGGTGAGTGTGCATGCTGTACTGGGGAGAGAATCTAGGAGTCCTGCCCCCCTGTCCCTGGGGCAGTAATGGGGAGCTCTCTTTGGGGGTGGAGGGCTGTGGTCCTGAGGGACACTGGTGGCTCTGTGTACAAAGCACAGTCAGCTGGGGGGATGTGGGTGGGTCTGGGAGTTGCTCCCCATAGCCTGCTTTTGACCACCTCTTTGACTATTGATCCACAGGGATGAGGCAGGACTGTGATGTGGCTATAGTGATTGATGGGCCCCAGGCACTGGCAGGTGAGTAAGGGGACGGGGAGGGCAGTCTCCGGTGGAAACAAAGAAGGTTCCTCAGCCCTTCCAACTGAGGCACCTTCTCAGCAGCAGAACCCAGGAATCCTGGCTCCCAGCCCCCTCCTCTAACCACTCAATCCCAGTCCCCACCCTGAGTGGAGGATAGAACCCAGATGTCCTGGTTCCAATGGCCCTGTGCCTGTGCATTGCTTCCCCATGCAGATGGGATCCAGTTCTATCGCTCAGCTAATGGTGTCATCCTCACACCGGGTGATGCTGAAGGCCTCTTGCCTCCCCGGTACTTCCAGAGAGTCCTGCAGCTCCAGCCTGACAGTAAGGGTCTCTCCCACCCTGCCTCCTACCTTCTTGGGGGGAAAAAAGGGGGGATGGCTTGGCACTGGGGGTGGGACAGTCTCTGACCTCTCCATTACCCCCACCCACTAGAAAGAGGGGAAGGGACTTGTCCAAGGTCATATTGCAAGTGGGGCGGAGGACCTAGCGGTCCTGACTCCCACTACCTCTGCTCTAACCCACTAATTTCCACTCCCCTTCCCACGCTGGGGATAGAACCCTGGAGTCCGGGGAGTCACTGTAGAACCCTTCCACAGAGTCACGGACCTGCTCGACATGGTGAGAGCTTGGTTTATTACTCTGTGTTTGCAGTCCCAGTTGACGTGCCCGGCTGGCAGCTCGTGGCAGAATCCACGTAGCTCTGGTTTTGATCCGTTCCCAGGGAGTGGCAGAGAAGTGCCCATGAGCCGATGGAGGGTGGAGGGTCCTGTTATTCCCTGGCATAGTTGGCAAGGGCAGGCAGGTTCAGGAAAGCCAAATTCTGCCAACCCATTTCTGAATCCTTCTCTCTTTCAGGGCGTTTGCTACCCCTCGAGTGACTCTCACAGGGTCCAGGGCCATGGCATGGAGGAGAATCAGGCAGGAGAGAGCAGTGTAAAATAAAATCCCTATTGTTCCATCTGCTGCAGGCTCTTTAACCATCTCTCTTCTGGATTTGCTTGCCTTGCTTCCCCGCGCGCTCCCCCCGCCCACCGCTGGGGTAAGGCGTGCTGGCTGGGGACCTGTACTCCTCCTCCCATAGAGCACATGCAGGAGTGCTGGGGTGGCAGGGAGCACGAGAAGGGATGGGTGGATTAAGGGGTGGCTTGGGCTGGGGTTGTGTAGGCCATTGCGGGGTGGTGTTGTCATGGTGTGTAGATAATTTGAGGAGTAGCAAGTGTTGGGCTGGCTGGGTTGGTTAGCTGAGTGTGTATGGAAAAGTGGAGACTGGGGTTGTGGAGCATGGGGGGAGTGGCTTGGGAATGTGTGTGTAGGGATTGGTGGGCTGTGTTGTGGGTAGGAGGGAATGGGGGTAGGGGACTGTGTTGGGTGGGTATGTTGGGGATAGGTGGTTGGGATGGGTGGGTGAGGGCTGCTCCCTCCCTGTTGGCGGGGCCAATGTTGGTCCCTGCTGCCCCCTGGTACCCAGCAGGGGATAGGAACAGTGCTGAGTGCTCACAGGGCCTCGTGGCCCCCTGTCAGCTTGTAGAAAAGCTCCTCATCGAGGCCCCGGCCCTTGTCGGTGGAGCGGGTGGACAGGAAGATGTACCCCCCGATGTACTCGTGCACGATATTGCACCTGGCCGACACACAGCTGAACGCCACATTGATGTGCTCATCAAACTCAATCGCCACCTGGGAGAGAGGACAGTAGTGAGGGGCTGGTTGGGGAAGAGAACACAGGAGTCCTGGCTCCCACTTTTTAGTGTTGTTAGAAACTGGGGAACCTTTTGGGGAAGAAGTAGCCTGTACCGGGGGAGGATGGACTCCACCTTAACCAAAATGGAACCAGATAGCTGGCATGTAAAATTAAGAAGGTTGTAGAGGAGTTTTTAAACTAAAAGCTGGGAGAAAGCTGACAGGTATGGAGGCACGCACAGCTCGGCAGAGACATCCCTTAGGGATGAATTAATTCAAGGGCAGACTCGATATCCTAAGATAGAGGATAGGAAAGAAGTTGGTAAAGTACAGATAGGAGCTAGGAAGCAATGGTCAAACATACGAATCTCATTTAAACATAACACATGAAGGCAAGTGACTAAATATTGACAAAATGTACAAGGGCTTATATACTAATGCTAGAAGTCTAAATACTAAGATGGGTGAACTAGAGTGCCTGGCATTAAATTAGGATATTGGTATAATAGACATTACTGAAACTTTGTGAAATGAGGCTAATCAATGGGACATGGTAATACCAAGGTATGCAATATATAGGAGTGACAGTAGGTCACGCTGGTGGGGGTGAGGTGACACTACATGTTTATAAAAAGAAAAATCAAAAAGGTGAAAACCTTAAATGAATCAAACTACTGTAAAATCTCTATCAGTAGAAATTCCAAGCTTGAATAACAAGAGGATAGCAGTAGGATATACTGCTGACCACGAGAGTGACTGTGATTGTGAAATGCTAATGGAGGTTACAGAGGCTACAAAACCAGAAATCACAGTAATAATGTGTGATTTCAACTATCATACTGACTGGGTAAATGTCACCTCAGAATAGGGATGCAGAGATGACACACGTAAATGACTGCTTCCTGGTGCAGCTAGTCTTGTAACCCACAAGGGGAGAGACAATTCTTGATTTGGTCCGAAGTGGAGCACAGGATGTGATCCCAGAAGTAACTATTGCTGAACTGCTCGGTAAAAGTGACCATAATGTAATTAAATTTAGCATCCTTGTAGGGGGGAAAATACCAACCCAACCCCCCCTCCCATGGTTACATTTAACTTTAAAAAGGGAAACAACACAAGAATGAGGATGTTTGTTAGATGGAAATTAAAAAGAACAGTCACGGGGGTACAGTGCGGCCTGCAGTCAGCATGGAGACTACTTAAAAATACCATAATAGAGGCTCAGACTAAATGTATACCCCAAACCAAAAGAGACATGGCTAAGCAACAGCGTATTGGAGGGGAAAAGTCACCCTTTAAAATGTCAGGTTTCAGAGTAGCAGCCATGTTAGTCTGTATTCGCAAAAGAAAAGGAGTACTTGTGGCACCTTAGGGACTAACAAATTTATTTGAGCATAAGCTTTTGTGATCTACAGCTCACTTCATCGGATGCTCAAATAAATTTCAGAGGAACAGCCGTGTTAGTCTGTATTCGCAAAAAGAAAAGGAGTTCTTGTGGCACCTTAGAGACTAACCAATTTAGTAGCTCACGAAAGCTCATGTTCAAATAAATTTGTTAGTCTCTAAGGTGCCACAAGTTCTCCTTTCTTTTAAAATGTGGAAGTCAGATTCTAATGAGGAAAATAAGAAGGGGCACAAACTCTGGCAAGTAAAATGTACAAGTGTCATAAGACAGGCCAAAAAAGAATTTGAGAACTAACTTGCTAAAGATGCAAAAACTAACAATAAGAATTTTCTTAAGTACATCAGAAGCAGGAAGCATGTCAGACAATCAGTGGGGCCACTAGACAACCAAGGTGTTAAAGAAGCACTCAAAGAAGACAAGGCAATCACAGAGAAGCTAAATGGATTCTTTGCATGGGTCTTTGCAACAGAAGATATAGGGGAGGTACCCATATCAGAGCTATTCTTTTTGGGTGACTAATCGGAAGTATCGTCCCACATAGATGTGTCAATAGAGGTGGTTTTGGCACATATTACTAAAACTAAACAATATTAAGTCACCAGGACCAGATGGTCTTCACCCAAAAGTTTGAAGGAAGTCAGATATGAAATTGCAGAACTGTAGTATTTAACCTATTGCTGAAATCAGCCTCTGTAGCAGATGACTAGAGGATAGCTAATGAAATAGCAAATTTTTAAAAAGGCTCCAGAGGCAATCCTGGCAATTACAGGCCAGTAAACCTAACTTCAGTACCAGGCAAATTGGTAGAAACTGTAGAAAAGAACACAATTATCAGACACAGAGATAAATACACTTTATTGAGGAAGAGTCAATATAGCTTTTGTGAAGAGAAGTCATGGCTCACCAGTCTGGTGTGATGATTAAGGGTATGGAATGGCTTCCATACAAAGAAAGACTAAAGATTAGAGCTGCTCAGCTTAGAAAAGAGACAACTAAGGGGTGTGTGAGAGATAAAGGTCTATAAAATCATGAATGGTATGGAAAAAGTGAATAGGAAAGCGTTATTTACCTTTTTCCACAATACAAAAACCAGGGGTTGCCGGATGAAATTAATAGGCAGCAGATTTAATACAAACAAGAGGAAGTTCTTTTTCACACAATGCACAACTAACCTGTGGAAGTCATTGCTATGGGATCTTGTGATGGGCAAAAGTATAACTGGGTTCCAAAAAGAACTGGATAAGTTAGTGCTGGATAGGTCCATCAATGACTATTTGCCAATATGACCAGGGACATAACCTCATGCTTGGGGTGACCCTAAACCTCTGATCGCCACAAGCCAGGTGGATCACTCCATGCCTCCCATGTTCTGTACACTCTGGCTGAAGCTCTGATATGGGCCACTGTTGCCCAGGATACTGGGCAAGATAGATTAGGGCTTGACCTAGTAGGGCAGTTCTTATATTCTTAGAATCAGTTACAAGATAATAGGGTTAGAAGAAATAGCCAGCATGGATTTGTCAAGAACAAATCATGCCAAACTCACTTGATTTCCTTTGTGGACAGGATTACTGGCCTAGTAGATGGGCCATAGTCCCACATGACACTCTCATAAGCAAACTAGGGAAATGTGGTCTAAATAAAATTACTATAAGGTGGGTACACAACTGGTTGAAAGACTGTCCTCAGAGTAGTTATCAATCATTCACAGTTGAACTGGGAGGATGTATCTAGTGGGGCCCTCCAGGGGTCAGTCCTGGCTCCAGTACTATTCAATATGTTCATTAATGACTTGGATAACAGAGTGGAGAATATGCTTATAAAATTTGCAGATGACACCAAACTGGGAGGGATTGCAAGTACTTTGGAGGACAAGCTTAGAATTAAAAATCACCTTGACAAGTTAGAGAAATTGGTCTGAAATCAACAAGATTAAATTCAATAAAGGCAAGTGCAATGTACTACTCTTCAGAAAAAAAAAATCAAATGCACAATTACAAAATGAGAAAGAACTGATTACGTGGCAATGTTGCTGAAAAGGATGCAAGGATTACAGTGGCTCACAAACTGAACGTGAGTGTCAGCAGCTGCAGAAATGGTTAATATTATTCTGGGGTGGTGCAAGAGTGTTGCATGTAAGATATGGGAAATAACTGTCCTTCTCTGCTTGGCACGGGGGAGGCCTTGGCTGCAGTACTGTGCCCAGTTCTGGGCACCACATTTCAGGAAAGATGGGAACAAACTGGAGAGAGTCCAGAGCAGAGCTACAAAAATGATAAAAGGTTTAGAAACCCTGATCTAGGAGGGAAGGTTAAAAACACTGGGCTTGTTTAGTTATGAGAAAAGACTGAGGGGACCTGCTAACAGTTTTCCAATATGTTAAGGGCTGTTATAAAGAGAATGGGGATTAATTGTTCTCCATGGCCCCTGAAGGCAGGATAAGAAGTCGTCCTTAATCTTCAGCAAGGGAGACTCAGGTCAGACATTAGGGAAAAACTTTCTGACTAAGGGTAGATAAGCTCTGTGACAGGCTTCCAAGGGAGGTTGTGGAATCCTCATCACTGGAGGTTTTTAAGAACAGGTTCAACAAACACTTGTAGGAATGGTGGCGGTTTATTAGTCCTGCCTCAGCGCAGTGGGCAGGACTTGGTGACCTCTCAAGGTCCCTTCCAGCCCTACATTTCTGTGATTCTGTAGACCCCACTTGCCTCCCAGAGCCAGGCAAGAGACTCCAGGAGTCCTGGAGCCCATCTCCACCATGCATGGGCACTGGAGAGGAGAAGACCCAATACAATCGTGTCTCCTAGGGCATTCCCCTACACCCCCTCTCCCTGTGCCAGACTCCATGATGGCTTGGCATTGCTCTTTATAGGCCCCAGCAACCCCTTCCCTGCACTGACCTGACGGATGTCCCAGTTGACATTCCACTGGCGCATGTTGCTATACCGCCAGGTTTTCACCATGTCTCCCACGCCCAGGTCAATTCGGATCAGACGATTATTGGCGATGCCCAGGATCTCATCCTTCCTACTGCCCTTGAACCTGTGGAGCATGGAGGGGCTGGGGGTCAGGACTCCTGGGTTGTATTGCAGTTTGGGGGTGGCAGTCAATGGATTGGAGCAGGAGGGGCTGGGGGTCAGGATTCCTGGTTTCTATCCCTAGCTGAGCGGGGAGAGGAGTGAGGTTGAATGGGTTGGGGCTGGAGTGGAAGGGCTGGGCTTCGGGACTTCTGGGTTCTATCCCTGACTCTGTAGAAGTGTGAAGGGGGGTCCAGTGGTTAGAGCGGGGTGGGGGGGGTCAGGACTCCTGGGTTCTACCCTTGGCTCTGTGGGGAGGGGTGCCTCACCTGACCACAAAGTAGGAGATGCCGAAATCAGGCAGTGATTGCCAGGCCTGGATAAACCTCATCTTGGCCTCGGTGAGTGAGAGCTGGGCCACATTCTGATGGGCCTCCAGGATGCGCGGGGTTAACTGTGGGCAGGAGACATGGGTCAGTGTTCCAGTGTGTTCCAGGCCTGATCACTGCTTGGATGGGAGACCTCCTGGGAGGTTGGGGGGTGTGCTCCCATCACAGTCATTGCTGGCCCCATTACCCAAGTGCAGCAGCAGGGGGTGCTGTGCTGTAGGGGGCAGGGCAGGGCGGGGGGCTCAGTGCAGGGCACTGTGCTGCAAGGAGCAGGGTGGGGGGCTCAGTAGGGGTGCTCTGCCCTTGCAGTCCTGGCCCCATTACCCAAGTGCAGCACTAGGGGGAGCTGTGCTACAGGGGGCATCTCCTCTTGCAGTCAGTGTTGACTCCATCCTGGGGCCAGGCGTGCTGTGCTTCAGGGAGTGGGGCATGGAGCTCAGTAGGGGTTGCTGCCCCAACCCCCACCTACTTGTTTGGGCTTGAATTTCTTCTGGTAGCGCGGGGACACCAGCCACTGGGTGCCTATGGCCTCGGCATCGGGGGCCACGGGCGCGTCAGGACTGGCTCTCTGCAGCTGCAGGAAGGACAGGATATTCTGCACCTCAGACTGATAAGTGCTGTCTGCCATGGTCCGGCCTTTGGCTGCCAGCCGGCACCCTGCCATCCAGCGGGCATACTGCTGCTCCTGCAGGGGGGGAGGAGGAGGAGGAAGGGAAGGGAGGGAGTTAAAGGAGGGGGAGGCACTAAAGACCCCCAGCTGGGACCACCGCTGCAATGCATCTTAGTAGCCAGACCCTGCAGCCCCTTTCTAGAAGATAATCCCATTCACCCACCAATTCACAGCCCCTTCCCCCAGTATAGCCCCACTGCAGCCCACCCTTTATGGTGTAATCCCACTGCCCTTTCACTCCCCACAACTCTCTTCCTACATGGTACAACCCAAATGCATCCCCCAGTGTGAGTCCCTAGGGTATAACCCACCCCACAGTCTGATCCCACTGCTGTCCCACAACTTACGTCCTCACAGCGCAGGTACACTTCACTCATCCCCTCCGGAGAGGGCACCAGCAGTTTGATGCAGAACTTTTGGCTTGAGACGTTGACATCCGGTACCACCTCACAGCCTGAAATTGGTGGCAGGGGGAGTGGAATGCAGCATAATTGGTAATTAAAATGCTTTATTGTGTCTGCAAAAATACCTCAAAATCCCATGGGGCTGGGGGACAATCTCTCGCCTCTGTGTTGACCTATGGAACTACTTGCCACACGAGTTTTAAGGAGGCCAAGGCTTCAGGGAGATTAGATCTGGCTGTTAGTTGATGCCAGAGACCATTGACTGGCTGTGAATGGCAGGGGCCAGCAAAGAAAATCCTGTCCTTTTACTTTCAGTTAACTCCCTGCTACTGGCGTGCAAAGGGCCCAGGAGGTTGGAACAGAGAGGATGTGAAAGGGATTCCCCTGCACCCTGAGCGCGGACAGCAAGACACCTTCATGCTGCAGTTGGAATATACATGATGGGAATCCCGCCCAGCATTGCCTGGTGAGGGGAGCTCAGTGTTGAGGGAAGGCTTATGTTCAGTTCTCTGAAGCAGCAGACTTTGTGCGAGCTGGGACACAGCGGGCTGGATGAGCCCATCTGTCTGATCTGGGAGGGTGTGGGGAGAAGAGATGCCAGGGAGAGGGGATACCGTACTCACCCTTGAGACTGAGCTGCTGTACGGGCTCACCCAGGGCCTCCTCACGGCTCTTGTAGTAGGAGATGGAGGTCTCTTTGAACATTACCCAGTACTGCTTGTAGCCCTTCAGCGTCAGCTTGCGGGGCCTGTGGAGGGGGGCATCAATGCCAAGGTGGAGGGGGCACAGTTGGACACGCCCCAGATGTGGGAGATACACACAGTCCCCCTAGGGCCCTGAGCTGTGACATGGGACGGGTGCAACAGGATAGCTTGGGGGATGGGGTCAGGCATGTTATTGGCACTGTGACCACTAGACCCCACGTTGCTCCCAGAGTAGGGGTAGAACCCAGGAATCCTGACTCTCAGCCCCCACCCCCAAAGTGAGGATGAGAGTCTGAAGCTCACCTGAATATCCGGAGATAATCCTTCAGCTCAGGGATGGTGGTGAGATTTTCCTGTCAGGAGATCAAGACACAGTCACCCCCTGCTACTCCAGTCCGGCCCCCCGATGCCCCTCAATCCTGCCGCCTCCTGATATTCCAACCCTGGATCCCCCCACAGCGCTGCTGGTGCCCCTCACATCCGCCCCTTACCAGCATGTCCGAGGTTGATGTCCCCCCCTCCAGCTTGACCTGGAGGTTGGACAGGGCTGAGTCCAGGTCATCCAGGCCTTGCTCCCTGGCTGGCTCCGTGGGGTCAGCACTCAGTGAGAGCTTGTTGATGTGATACTGGAGGGCAGGGGGAGGCTGGTTAGTTGGGGAGAAAGGGGAGGGAGATCTTCACCGCCCCACCCACCCAGATAGCCCCCACATGGGATTGGCCACTGGCTTGACCTGGCAGGATGGATCCTTGTTCACCTGGGTGGGAGAGCTCCAGACGTAGTTAGTCCTGGCCCCACTGGGTGAGCTCTGGGGAAGACAGACCCCAGCCCAGCTGGGGGTGGGATGTGGAAATATATTGGGTAAGGGTACTCTGTAGCGGGGAGGGGCTAGATCCCTACTAGGTGGGAGTGCTTGGGGGACAAAGGGGGGGCAGATGGATCCCAGCCCAGGCGGGTGGGAGGGCTCCAGGGATGGTTACTCCTGGCCCCACTGGGTGAGCACTAGGGAAGGTAGATCCCAGCCTGATTGTGGGGTAGGCGGGGGTGTTCCATGGCCGGGGAGGGGATGGATCCTGGCCAGTTGCGAGTGCTTCATGTGAGGGAGGGAAGGGGATGGCTGTGGCGGAATCCCTGGTAGGTGGGGGTGGATTCCAGCCCAGCAGGGGGAGGTGGATCCTGGCCTAGCTGGGGGTGGGGGGCGGAGGTCCAGTACCTGCAGCGCAGCGAAGACCATCATCTCCTCCTCGGTGCTTTCGGTCTCCTCCAGCAGCACGGCCCAGCGTGCCTGCTCGTACAGCTGGGTGATGCGCACTGCGTCGTACTGCAGCATGGGGGACAGGAAAGGTGGGTGGGGGTTAGGGGGTCAATGGGGGAAATTAAGGGGGAGGAGCGGGGAGGGGGTGGAACAGGGGTCTGGAGGAGAGTTGGGTTGGGGTGGAGGGAAGGAGGGGTCCTGGGCTCCAGATCCAAGAAGTCAGTGTAGGTTTGAGGGGGGAAGGGAAAATCTGGGGAGAGATGATGGGGTGTGGTAGGGGTTGGAGTAGCCAGGACAGGCTGGCTATATTTGGGGAGTGAAGGATGGACAGGAGACCCCAAGGGAGAAGGGTTGGAGGGGAGGGAGGCACACAGGGGTCCCACCTTGGGCTCCAGGTCAAAGAAGCTGTAATATTTGAACCGCAGCCAGAGCTGCTCGTTCTCCCGCACGTCCTGCTGCATCAGTGACCGCGAGGAGCTCAGCCACCTGGAGGGGAACACGGGAATTGTCATATTAGTAAGAACAGGTGTGACTCAGTTTCCCCACCTACTTGGGATTGCCACCCCCTGGGTGGGAAGGGGTTACACCTTCCTCTCTAGGGCAGGGTAGATGAGATGGCTGCAGGTCTCTGTCTGGGGGTGGGAATGCACCATCAAGAACTGTCCCTAGGCAGGGAGCCCTGAAGTGACACTGAGACCCCCGCTGGCCAGCCAAGGGAGGCTGAACATGTGTGGCCAGCACCAGGCAGCTGGAGATCAGGGGACAGGAGGCGGCTTCAGCCTGGCCCACACTTAGCCCGGCAGAGCGCTGTGGGCTGGGGAGGGAGAGGGCGGTGTCGCCGCAGAGCGTGAACCCTCGTGCAGATGCTCTGATCCCAGCATGGAAGGGCTTTGGCCACCATAGCTGGGGAGAGCTCAGCTGGTGGAACCATTCCCATGTGGGTAGAAGCTGCATCCCCCGGCAGGGGTTGCGGGAAGCTCTGCCAGTCCGGCCTGGGCTAGGAACTGGGCTGCCCATATAGCACTCAAAAGGCAAGTCAGGGTTGGCTCTCCCCGTGCCCTGTCGCTGTAAGGACGGAAGGTCTGCCCACCGTGGGGTGCCCCCAAGGGCTCAGCAGCGATGGGGGAGGGAGGGTTCACTCTTGGGTACTAAGGGTAACACTCCACCCTGGTCTAGGAGTGAGACCCCAGACAGAAAACAGGGGAGACTGGCAGGAGCCTAGGGAACGGGGCAGGTGGCTGCCAGCATGGACTCCAGGCTGAGCCTGGCTTTCCATGCTGTGCTAAGGATGCTACGACGCTGGGTCCCAGGGGACTGGTAAACACTGGCTTGCTCTGAACAGGCTGCACTGGGTCACTTCAGGGCAATCAACGCAGAGGAACCTCTGGGGAGATATAGAGAGACATGGGAGTCTGGAGTCCAGGGCCCCGCCTAGATGTGCTGGAGTCGCGGGACTCATCCTAACTCCATGGCCCGGCCTGCCCGGGCGCCGTTAGAGGTGACGGTATAAAGGCTGGGGGTACAGATTGCCCTGGAAATCCATGACAGGACCCAGCTGTGGTGCTGCCCCCAGGCATAGAGCCAGCAGCCGCAGCTCTCCCAGTGCCCCTCAAGCCCAGCCTGCAGCCCCCCTCTCTCCTCTCACCGGCTGTTGATCTGGGCCTTCTCCATGAGGTTGCTGGGCCGAGGCATCTTCAGCACGTGCTCGGGGCTCAGGCCAGTCCAGCTCACTGACAGCATCCGGTAACAGGCCTCGGTGGTGGGGCTGTCCGAGAAATGGGCCGGCATCCCCCGGAACGGCTGCTGCTCCGCGCCTGCAGGGAAAGGGAGGGCTTCTGCTCTGTGCAAAAGGGGGGGTTAGCGGCGCCCAGGCAGATGCCTGCCGCCAAGTGCACACACAGTAGGGCAGGCTCTCACACCACTGCTTGTGCTCACTAGTGCACGTACCTTCTGGCACAAGCACACAGGGGTGCTCTCACATGCACTCACACGCACGCTCACCCCAGCACTCGCAGGGAAGCACACTCACATGCCCCTGCCCACCCCCTTCGCCCGCACTCACTGGCTGGCAGCACCACCCCGCTGAGGTCAAAATCATCCTCTGTCCCCAGCACCGGCCCCTTCCGCTTCTTCTTGTCCTTCTCCTCAGGCGCCCGCAGCAGTGACAGCTCCTCGGCATGCCGGATACCTGAGGGGAGGGGACACGGGGTGAGGGAGCTCCCCAGAAAGGGGGCCTTCCCCCATCTTCCCCTTATTCTATCTGTCTGGGCCCCCTGCCCCTCTCCCCCAAAAGCCCCATCCCTCCTCCTTGAGCCCACCCAGGCTTTTCTCCCTACTTTTGCTCCCCTCACCCCTTTGTGCCCCCCTGCACACCTCCCCGACCCCTGCTCCTCCCCTTACCGCTCCCTGGGTCACCTCCTCACCCCAGACACTGGCCCATCTATGCTCCTACTCCCCACCTGGGAAGGGGCAGCCAGGGGAGAAGAGCCCCAGGTGCTAGGTAGATGTGATGTCACTAATTTGTCATGACTCCCCATGCACTTTTTCCAGACCACTTTAAGCACTGTCCCCTGCCCCACACCTCCAAACCCCCTACCCCTCTGCGCCCTTTGCCTTTCCCTCCTCCACAACTCCTGCCCCTCCCTGATACTCACCCTCGATGTCTACCCCCAGCATCCTTCTCCACCCTGGCCCGTCTATGCCCCATCCCCACCCGGGCACTCACTCAGCACCCGGCAGATGCCAGCCACAGCACGGAAGACGGGCTCAGAGAAGCTGGCGTGGACGCGGATCATCCGCCGGTTGGGCAGCTGCAGCCGCACAGGCTTGTGCTGAGGTGTGTACCGGAGACGAGCATCTGCCTGCAGCCCGTACTTATCCAGGGTCCAGTTGGTCTTGAGCAGCCAGAGTTTCTTCTGCTCCCACCAGAGTGCATGGTCTGACCAGTTCTGCTTCACCTCTGGGGGCAGAGCACAGTAGTTTGCACAGGGACCCCTTGTCTGGCACTGAGATGCAGCCACCTCTGGCATGGGGGCTGTTTATGGAGGGACCCCTCGCCCAGCGCTGAGATGTAGCCAGTGCCGCCTCAGGGTGGGATAGAGGAGGTAGCTCCCAGTATAAGGAAGATGCTGCAACCCCAGGAGCTGAACTGTGCAAGCCACCCACACGCAATACAACTACAGACTTCTAAACCAGAGCCATGGCTACTGGGGCAGGGTCCTGGCTTCCCCATGCTAACCACTAGGCCCCATTCTCTTCCTGGAGTTGGGAGAGAACCCAGGTGTCCCAATTCCCAGCCCACCTTTCTCTAAGCCACTAACCCCACCCCCACCCCACCAGAGCCAGGAATAGACTCCCGAGCCCTGAAGGCTATTTATAGCCATAGGCTCTGGCTAGCTGGCCCCTTATCAGCCTCCATCCAGGGTATGGGCCTCACAGTCTCCAGCAGCAGCTACAGCTGCTATCTGGCACTGCCAGGGGAAGGTCCCCATACCACATAGACTGGCCACAGGAAGACATGGCACAGGCCCACCTCGTGTCCTGGGCAGATAAAGAGACACTTCCTGTTGCATTGGTCCCTGGGTGCCCCCTCCCACCAGGCCCCAGGCCCCTCCCTCGCTGGTACCGAGGGGAGTAGGGAGATGTGGGCAAACACTGTAGGGGAGTACAGGACAGAGGGAAGCACTTGGGGACAGACAGATGGATGGAGGGGGACGTGTGGGACTGACCAATGGATCACTAAAACCTAAAGAACAGACAACTGGGCAGATTAGAGCCCAGACAGGCGTTCCAGGGTTGGCCCACCCCCTGGGTAGCCCCCATGCCCACAGATGGCAGGTGCTTGTTTCCCTGACACAGAGGGCAATTCTGGGGTAATCAAGGGGGTAGGAGGCAGTGCTCCAGTCAGACCCCAATCTTGCACAGAGTAGGAGGGGAGAGACAGGAACTGAGGGTGGAACTGGGCGATTGGGAGTCGCTTCCCTGCATCAGGGCCATGACTCAGCCTGCATCATGTGAGAGACTGGCAGGAACAGCAGGAAGTGGGGGTCTAGAGGTTAGAGCAGGGGGCTGGGAGAGGACTCCTGGGTTCCGTTCCCAGCTCTGGGCTGGGGTGGGGGGGAGGAGAGGGAATTTGAGGTGCCCTAGGGTAAAGGGTTGGGGAACCCCCTCTGATGCTAAGATGCGTGATGCTGGGAATCCAGCATCTACTGGCTACTAGAGGGGGAAGTGCAGCAGGGAAATTAAAGGGACAGAACCCCACCATCCACGCAGGGGCTCACCCATTGTGGGGAGAAGTGTGTAAAGTGGGGAGGGGATGGAAGAGGACACCCCTCCATGTAACCCACAGCAGCAGGGGGGACCCCACACTCACTGATCTTATCCACAATCTGCAGCATGATGCCCCCAATGTGTACATCCCCGGTGACTCGCAGGGTGAGGGGCTCAGCCTCGGGCCCCAGCTCCTCCACAGCCACTCTCAGCTCCCAGGAGGCATCGATGTAATCCCCGCTCGCTGTCTTCAGCCCAGCCATGGCGAGCCCTGGAACGAGTGCAGCGCAAGGGTCAGGAGGGAGACAGGACACCGGAGTTCTGTGCGCTCCTCTGGAAAGGGAGCAGGGTCTAGGGGGTTAGACTAGGGGGCTGGCAGTCAGGACTCCTGGGTTCTATCCCCAGCTTCAATTGTCAGCGTAACAAGGGTGGGGGGGGGCAGCTTGTCCCTTTCCCGCTCTGTAGGTCAGTAGCGCTGGGGTGGTACAAGGGGATGGAGGGGTGAGAACGACTTCACAGTTCAGCAAGGGACACTTCCCGCCCCTGCCCATTGCAGGGAGGGAGAGGATTTGCCTTCCCCCAAAGCATAGGGTGGAGGCAGAAATAGCTGGACCACTGCTCCCATACAGCAGCGCTAGGCTGGCCCAGTGTTGTGTTCAGGGGCTGCAGGGCACAGGATCACAGGCGAGATGGGAGCCAGGGAATCCCAGTCCCAGCAGGAGAGAGGTGGTGCTGGGTGGGCCCCTGGAAGTCTGTCCTGCAAACAGCTGACCAGACCAGAGAGCCAGGGTCAGGACTCACGGGTTCTATCCCCAACACTGGGAGGGAAATGGGGTCAAGTGGGTTAGAGCAGGGAGGGCTGTGAATCAGGACTCCTGGGCCCATTGCTGACCATAGTGCGTCGGGGGACACACCACCAATCCTTCCCAACTCAATAGTTCTCACTCCCCAACCAGAGCTGGGGACAGAACCCAGGGATCCTGACTCTCCATCCCCCAGGTTGATATACAATCACAGTTTACCCCTGAGCCCTAGCTCACAGCTGAAGACCCCAAGGGCTAATACAAATCAGCAGCTTGGTAAATGCCAGGAGCCCCGGAAGTAGGATATAGAACCAGGCATACAAAGAGTGAAGCCTGGCCCCAGGGACAGCCCCCCCACATCCTTTCAGATGCCCAGGAGGAATTCTCCTATAGCTTGGTAGGAAGTGCCATGCATCTAACTAGATCACACCTCCATGCAGCCCATCCTCAACCTCCATCCAAAATGGGGTCCCCTCTTCCACTTCAGTGAAGGATTGTGCATAAGGGCACGTGGCAAATTGGTGGGGCAGGACAGATGGAGTGGGACCTGCCACGACACTGTAAAGCGGAACCTTCCACCCCCAGCCACCACCGCGCAGCCAGCCCCTTACCGATCCCGGTGTGGGCTCTGTCCGAAGCTCCCGGAGCTGTTAGCTCATCTAGCACTGATAGGGATCCAGCCTGGGCTCTGTCTCCCTCGCCAGCATGCCTCCTGTCAAATCAGTCCAGCCCGTTGCTCTAGCCCTGGGCGTTTCCCTCCCTCCCACACTTCACTTCCTCTCAGCCGCTGAGCACTGTTTGCTCAACAGCTCCAGGGCTCTGCATTGTGTTTGTCTTGGGCAGGAAGTCCTTTGCATCAGGGCCCAATGGCAGCTCAGGCACCTGCCGAGTCCCTGGGATTGCTTTAGAGTAACACACCCACACTGCTGTGAGCAGTGTGTATGCCCTTCCCAGTAGGGACTCTCTCTCACTTTGTATTTGAAGCACCTAGTACCACAGGGGCCCTGATCTGAGTTATGGTTTGTGTAGCACCCAGCACAACAGGGCACCCTAGCTCAAGCCGGGGGGGGGCTACAGTGCCTGGCCCCAGGGGAGGGCCATCCCTTTATTAAACCACAGAAGGACAGAGAGCAGCTATTGGAACACAAAGGGAAAAGGGAGCCTCCCTATGTATTTTCCTCTGCCCCACTGAGCAGCACATAGTGAAAACACAGTTAGGCAGTGGAACTCAGGGCCACATGATTCCATTACAGGCCAAAGGTTCAGGAAGGATTTCAGTTCATTCGGGGGCTAATCAAGCAGGTGGCAAGAACGTATGAGGGAAATGAATGGGAGCAGAATGCTGACAGGTGTTCAGTGGGGGAATGTGTCCTGCAGGCAGGACAGCAGGGTGACTTGAACCTTCCTCTGAAGCAGGAAGCACTGGTGGGAAGTCTGATTCACTGGGCTGATTTGGTTTTGCAGTTCTTATGTTCCCACACCACTGTTGGCCACTGGAAGTTGGGAAACTGTTGAGAAGCATCCAGCTCTATGTTGCAACTGTGTTTGGAGTGCTAGGGCACTTATCACTTCTCCTACCACAGAACGCAGGTGTCTTGCTTCCCTAATTTTCCCTAGGTCACATGTTTTGGCAGAGAATGGTGCAGTCCCAACTCTTCTCTAAGCCATTGGACCCCACTCCTAAGAATGGAACCCCAGGAGTCCTGACTCCCAGTTCCGCTCTAACTGACCCCTCTCCTCCTAAAGTGAAGTGCAATCCTCAAAGCTTGGCTTGTCAGCATAAGACTGCCAGCCAGTGCAGTCCATCAGCACAACTCTGGGAGAGGGAGGGGGAAAAAAAAAAAAAAAGCCTCGATCCCAGTTAACACCCAGGCCCCTGCTGAACACAGAGCTGAGTGGGTGTATCTGAGCAGGAGAGGGGAATGGGACTGGCTGCATGGAAAGAGGGGGCATGTCAGACCACACTTGAAGTTGGGGGAAGCTGATGGGACAAGCTAGAGAGGGGAAAGTTTGAGCTGGGTTGGGGGATCAAAGAGGTATTTAATTCGCACCTGCCTGTCCTAAACCCTCCTGTAAGGAGAGAGGTGCAGATTTGGCCAGGCCAAATGCAGAGGAATAGCGCACAGCATTTTAGAGACCATTTTGGTGCATCACACTGGGATCTGAACAGCTAAGCCTGCGTCACATTGCTAGTTCCTGTTCTGCGGCAGAGCCCCCTTCCTGCCTCTGTGGGTGCTGTATTTATAGCAGCGGAAGTTCCGTTCAGGCACAGCCTCTGGGGAAGGGGGATGGGGACGCAGCTGCTAAGGTCCCCCAGGGAAGAGGGTAGGTGCACCTTGCAGCTAGGATGGGCTGGCAGGAGAATCAGCCCACTCGCTGCACTGGGGCTACAGAGTTCTGCCTTTCTAAGGTAGGAAGGAAATACACCCAATGCCACAGCTCCTTCTGCTAGTGGGGAGTATGAGGCACAGCAATATCCCCCCCCAGCCCATGTCACCCCCTGCAATGTCATAAAGTGCATGACAGGGGAGGGGATCCTGTAGGGCAACAGGCTGGGGCAGGGTAGCCCCTAGGGGCAGCTTAATACTCCCCTTGCAGAGTGAGCCCTGTTACCAGGGTGTTTGTCATCTCTTGGGTGTAGGATCTTCATAGCAACCAGTCCCCTCAAGACAGGGATTCCAGGAAAGAACCCAGAAATCCTGCACTCACAACGGTAGAGACCAGAGTCTGTACTATCTGTTCATGAGCTTAAAGGCTACAGGCCAGGTGCTGGACTGGTGCCAGCATAACCCTGTTAGCTTGTGACAGCAGCAGAGGATCCAGATCCCGCCTGTCTGGCTACATACAGAGGCATGTCAGAGAGAGACTTCCTGTTTCACTTACCAGCGTGAGACAGATACAGCCACTGACAAGTGAAGCCAGGTGCCTTCTAGCGCCCCCTGTGGGATGGCTAGCTGCAAAGCACTCTGGCTGCTAAGAAAGGACATGGACATGGCTGGGATCTTGAAACAGACTTTCCCTTGGTTGTCTTGTGGGGAGGAGGGACAGACACAGACCCAGAAGCACCGCTGACTGCTTTGCTCTTTTATTGGGAGTGCAGCATGGCAATGCAGTCTCACAGCCAGAAGAACCAGACAATGAACAGTTAGGAGCCGCCACCTCCCAGGCCTCTGCCAACAAAGAGAAAGAACCACAGAGGGGAGGGGCAGCTCAACAATGGAACAAGCTGCTTGGAAGATACAGGAACTGGAGAGAAAGTGGCCAGCTGGCCTCACACTGGCATGGGTGGTGTGGGCAGCAGGTCCTGTAGAGAGCATGATACTGTACAAGTCTTTATCTCCTATTGAGATAGGCTTTCCTTTTGCTTGTACTGCCAGTGTCCAATGTCCCAGCTGCTCTATGAACAGGCAAAGGGGTAGAACAGGGTGGCGAAGTCATCACCGAATTGCAATCAAACCAACATCCATCAGCTTCTGGATTTTCTGGGCTATTACCGGGTTCTTTAAGTGTCTGCAGAGAGGAAAAAGTAGTATCACTCCAAAGCACTTGAGTTTGACACTTCCATCACCTACAAGATGCAGCTGCCTCCAGGTTGGGACCCAGTGTCTTTTTATGAAGCATTCCTTGCCTGGGACACAGCCACCTCTGGGATGGGATGCAAGGGTCAGGCGTGGTTGGTGTCAGACAACTCTGCTTAAGAGGGTAAAGGAATATCTTGCACATGCTTGAAACTGATGGACTTTAAGAAGTCCAAACTTCCCAGAATAGGGGAATTCAGCCAAGGCACTGAGGTGAACACCTTAACTCTTGAGAAAATGCTATGGGCTCTCATGTGGACATGGTCCCCTTCTATAGGGACCAGCATGGGATAATGGTTTTGGACCCAACAGCACCACTTAAAGGCTGAGCTAAGCAGTGCTATAGGTTCCTTATGAAACACACCCCTATGTGGCTCAGCAGGAAGCACAATGCGGCTCCTCAGGAGCTAGATCTACCCAGACCCAAGCTCCAGTCACCCCCACGTTCAGGCAGCCTCACTCACTCGCTCAGCGCCTGTGGGTCCTTCTGCATCTGCTCTAGGATCAGCCGCATTGCTGGGTCACTCATGATCTGCTGCACCTCAGGATCAGCCATGGCACGCCGCTTGACCTCCTCGGGGTTGTCGTTGCGATTGTACTGGGCCATGAGGCAGCGCTGATAGCCGTCGGCAGCTTCCTGAAGCAAGAATGGCAGGGGCAGCATGAGGAGCTCTGTCAGAGCTAGCCACTGTACCCTGGCTGGTGAGGGGTAATGGTAATGCCATGCAAGGTTGGTTTGGTGACAGGACACAGGCTCTAGGCCTTCTCAGTCATTAGTCCTTGCAACCTGGGCCTCAAGGGAGCACAGCCAGAAAGGATCCCTGCCAGGGAACCTTAGCAAGGCATTTCAACACAGCTTACCCTGGGGGAAGGGCTGTCTAGCTAGTACATTAAGTCAGTTCAGTTCAGCACAAACAAGCCTGCTCCCACACCCACAGACAAACAGTCTTAGGTACAGGACCATTGTGATCACCTAGCCTGATCTTCTGCATAATACTTTCACCCAGACATGGAGCCCAATGATTTGCGGTTGAAAACAGGGTGTCATGCTTACATGGCTTGTGTGACAGACTGTGTAAAATCTCAACTTTCATTAAAAAGAAGTTTCTAGCTCTCACATCTGCAGAAAACCTTCCAAATGGGACCAGCAACAGACAGTTCTGTCTGCCTGAGTCTGCAGAGAGCTTGACAGGGATTCACAGGGGCCAGTTCTGCTACCCCTTCTTAATCTGATTAAAGTGTCAACTTGAGAGCCCAGTTTGTAGTCATTAACTAGCTGTAGTGGATGGAATGGAAGTGACGCTCACAATTTTCAGGTTTCAGAGTGGTAGCCATGTTAGTCTGTATTAGCAAAAACAACGAGGAGTTCTTGTGGCACCTTAAAGACTAACAAATTTATTTGGGCATAAGCCTTCATGGGCAAAAACCCACTTCATCAGATGCATGGAATAAAAATACATTAAGCAGAATATATATATTATAGCACATGAAAAGATGGGAGTCGCCTTACCAAGTGGGGGGGGTCAGTGCTAACGAGCCAATTCAGTTAAGGTGGAAGTGGCCTATTCTCAACAGTTGACAAGAAGGGAAGAATACCAAGGGAGGAAAGATTACTTTTGTAGTGCTAACAAGGCCAATGCAATCAAGGTGGCCCATTTCAAACAGCTGACAAGAAGGTGTGCCTATCAGCAGAGGGAAAGTTACTTTTTGTAAGTTTCAGAGTAGCAGCCTTGTTAGTCTGTATCCACAAAAAGAAAAGGAGTACTTGTGGCACCAAAATAAATAAATTGGTTAGTCTCTAAGGTGCCACAAGTACTCCTTTTCTTTTTGCAGATACAGACTAACAAGGCTGCTACTCTGAAACTTACAAAAAGTAACTTTCCCTCTGCTGATATGCACACCTTCTTGTCAGCTGTTTGAAATGGGCCACCTTGATTGCATTGGCCTTGTTAGCACTACAAAAGTAATCTTTCCTCCCTTGGTATTCTTCCCTTCTTGTCAACTGTTGAGAATAGGCCACTTCCACCTTAACTGAATTGGCTCGTTAGCACTGACCCCCCACTTGGTAAGGCGACTCCCATCTTTTCATGTGCTATAATATATATATTCTGCTTAATGTATTTTTATTCCATGCATCTGATGAAGTGGGTTTTTGCCCATGAAGGCTTATGCCCAAATAAATGTGTTAGTCTCTAAGGTGCTGCAAGGACTCCTAATTGTTTTCACAATGTTCAGAATGGGGAGTTGTGGCAGGAAGCACAGAGGAGACTCAAAAACCAGGAGAAATAAAGAAATAAAGTACTGAGCATAAACAGAAGTCTATTTCCCCACTGAGCAATGAGTCAAGGCAGCAATCAATGAGCTACAAAGGTAGCTGTTCTTATAAAGGTTAATATCCCCTGATCTCTGTACAAGTCCCATTAACTCCAACAAGGATCCTGCTGGGCATTTATATCCTAACCCACACACCATAATTAAGCCTAGAATTCAGCACTGTTTCCCAAAGGAGTTTGACATCTCTAAGCTAGCACAGCTCTTTTAGAGGGGCACGCCCAGTCCTGATTTAGATACCAGCAATGGAGAATCCACCACAACCCCAGGAGGCTGTTTTAGCAGTTAATTATGCTCCCTGTTCAAGAGTTACTTTACCTTATTTTTGTTCTGTCTTTGTTTGCTACATTAAAAAGCCCTCTGCCTGCAGGTGGAGAAGATTCCTGAGAGCACTTACAGGCCAGGATCAAGCCACCTCTTTGGCTCTCCAACACCAGACGGCTGCTGGCAGTATAGTACTGCTAGGCATTAGATGCTCTCACCTTGCAGTTGGAATCCAGGTCGAGAGCTTTCTGGTAGACGTCCATGGCTTTAGTGTAGTCCTTCATGGCTTCTAGCGCTGCAGCTTTTCGGGTGTAACCCTTGACTGCAAGCAAAACACAATCCCTTGGGGTTTACGCTTGCTGAACACTTCTTCCCTGCCTGTGCTTCCACCGCAGGTCGCTTTTGGTAGCAAGGTCAGCAGGGCATGTGACACACTGATTAGGAACCACAGGCCCTGGCCAACAGGATGAACTTAAGGTATGTTCAGCCTGAACTATTCCACAGGCCTTTACAGTATCAGCCCAGGCTCCCCCCTCACCTCAGTACGTGGTGGCTATTCCACACAGTGTCACATGAGAAGATAGGCCAGCCAAAGTG